GTAACTCTTGGACCATCATAGGGAATTAGATTGCTCAAAAGGCTCGCATCACCCGTCATGTGTCTTGAACAGCCACTGTCTAAGTACCAGACACCTGGGTACTTAGCGGCTTCCTGCATTAGGAGGAGGAAGATTTTGGTACCCAATTCAGTTTGGGTCCGGAATAGTTAATGGTGTGTGTCCCTACATCAAGTTTGAAGTTGCAGGGAATTTTCCTTGCAGCTCTAAACTTGTTGGGATTGTAATTATAGTTATAGGCATTAAACTTCCTACGTGTAGGAGGTGCAATTTCCTGTTTCCTCCTAGTAAACCTTGGTTGGTAAGACCTATAGTTTTGTCTAGGTTGTGCATAGTGTGGCCTGTGTCGGTTATAAGTATACTTAGGTGGCACAAATAGTTTCTGGGGTGGAGGGTGACTATATCTTGGCATAGTTCTCCACTCAGAATTTCTTGGAAAACTCCTATCTACCCCATAATGAGTATAGCCTCGTGTATAGTGGGGGTTAGAGGGTTTTCTTCTGAAATTGTTCCCTTTTTGAGGTTTGTCCAGCTTCCTATAGTTCTTAGGAGGGACTACCTTTTTGGGAACTTCTGTTGGTTTCTCCTTTTTCTTTCCTTTCTGCTTATTTAGTTTGGTAGTAGGTTTAGGAGGGATGAAAGTTGTTCTCCCTTTTCGTTTGGAACTGGAGGGGTCAAACCCAAGTCCTTCACGACCCTTATGTTTGGTCGTTTCAAGAAGCTTGTCCACTGCTTCTTTGGACTTAAGTATCCCTAGCTCCTTGTTGAGGGATTTCACCTTTTCAGAGAGAGATTCATTTTCAGCTTTAAGTTGAGTGATCTCATTTAGTTGACTTTTCCGACCCTCAGTCAACTTGAGATTCTCTTCACTTAACAACTTGTTCTCTTCTGTTAAGGATGAATGTTTGAGATTTATTTCCTCAAAATCTTCCATCATCTTTTTGAACTGGTCAAAAAGATTTTCAGAAGTTGGTATGCTTTCATAAGAAGATGAGCAGGAGGTTTGTGAGGTTACCTCTTGATCAACATCATCTTTGGCCATTAGGCAGAGAGTGTCATCTTCTGACATAGTCCACCTATCCTCATGGTTGGACTTTTCAACTCTGCGCTCCATGCAAACGAGGGCTTCTTCATCCGAGCTTGAGCTGGATGACTCATCACTCTCAGTAGCAACCATTGCCTTCTTTTTCTTCTCGTTTCTTTCTCTTTCTCCGTACTTCTCAACCTTTGGGTACGGGCATGCTGACTTCCAGTGGCCAGGCTTCCTGCAGTTATAACACAAATAAGATTCAGGAGGGGAGTCACTTACTTGTGGCTTTCCCTTGGTTGGTCTTCTGATTGAATCAGCCTTCTTGAAGAACTTCTTGAACTTCCGGAATTGCTTGACCATCATGGCAAATTCCTCATCGTAGTTCTCCATTTTTGAGCTTGGCGGCTGGCTGGAGGAAGGTGTGTCACAGCTTCTTGGGCATGTCCCTTCACTTGATGGGACTCTTGGAGTTGTCATCAATGCTGTGGGGAAGGGAGTGACTTGTTCTTCCTTCTTCTTCTTCAGCTCGTGCTCATAGGTTCTGAGCTCGTCAAGGAGACCTTGGACAGTGTAGTTCTCCAGGTTTCTTCCTTCTTCCATGGCCGTGGCTTTGGAATACCACTCAGTTGGAAGTGATCTCAGCAACCTTACATTCTTTTCTTTGGGAGAAAGAACGTGGTTAAGTGATGCAAGATCATTCAATATCTTGTGGAATCTTTCATCCAACATATCAAATGATTCTCCGGGAAGCATTTTGAAGCTTTTAAACTTCTCAAGCAGGACTTCTATCTTCTGCTTTCTCAGGTCCTCTGATCCCTCACATAGCTTCCCAAGACCTTGCCAAATCTCCATGGCAGTCTTGAGATGCTTAATTTTGGAGAAGGTGATGGGATCAAGTGTCTTAAAGATGGCTGCTTTGGCGACGTTGTCCAGATTGTGATTTTTGCAATCTCTATCATCCCATTTTTCTTTGGGCTTTGGAATGTACTGGACTACATCTGGAGTGGCTGGATTCCTCTCAAGATTCTCCATTTGGATTTTCAAGGGTCCATCCTCAAGCACCATCCACATGCAATCATGTAGAGCGTAGAGGTGTGCTTCCATCATGATCTTCCAATCATCATAACCTAGAAGAGAAAACTTGGGCAAACCGTGATCCATATTGTTCACCATTATGATTGCTTCTCGTTAATCTAAACGTAGATAGTGAGAAGTTTGCTCCGATACCAATTGGTGGTCCCAAAGTGGTGAGATACAAAGTCTAGAGGGGGGTGAATAGACTTTGTTTCAAATTTAAAACTTTTTTGTTTCTTTTGAAAACGTGAAAATGAGTGTTAATCTATAGTCCTTGTGAACTTTAGATTGTGTGCGGAATTTGGTGGGTAGAGTGAGCAGTAATCAATATGAATGGGTTAGTTTTCACAATTAATATAATTGCAAGTAAGAGTAAAGATAAAGGAGAGAGACACGCAAACTTTAACGAGGTTCGAAGGTGGGGTAATCCTTCTACGTCCTCAAAATCCACTATGTAGTTGGTTGTTGAATAATGAACCAACAATTACACTTGTGTGAATTTCTGCACGGTATATCTTCGCAAGGCCAATGTTGCTACTGCACTCGTGCTGGCTTTGTTGTTCCTTCGAAGGTCACGCTTCTTCAACAACTGCAACGTCCGAACAATAGGACTTGCAAGATCAACTTGTAAGAAAGTTGACCTACCCCCTTTCAATCAAGAAGTTTGATCAAAAGTTGTATCCTTCAACGTGGTGTGGTACTTGAGGCAAGGAAACCTTCAAGTGTTTACACTATAGCTCTT